CTTTCAACATATATAGTTCATGAGTGAGTGGATGAAGATACTGGATGCAGGGTAAAAATATGAGCCCTTACAAGCCCTTACGAGGCCTTACAATATTAAGTGATAAAATAGGGCCCCCAAAAATAACAGATGTACTGTACATGGTCAAAAGAACATGGCTCATCCATTGAGCCACTTGGATTCCGATCAAACCAAACTGCTCGGGTATCCAAAATTCTCCATTCTGCCAGATGGTTGGGCCAGTTTGACCTATCCTCTTGCAGCCCATGAACGCCATCTCGTTACAGAAGTGCGCCGCGTCAATCACAAAGCCTCTCCACGGTCATTGAAAGTCAATTCGGATGATCAGCCCAGGTTGGATACCCTCTGGTAGTTTGTTACATAGCTATTGAAAATGGCCATTTATAGCAAATTATAGTTGATTTACCCATTAAAAAATGGTGATTTTCCATAGCTATGTAAACGTTTACCAGGTTGGATTATTGGGATATATAGGCATCATCTTCCCAGTGGCGAAACCACCAAGCAGTCCACCAAAGGGGGTTCAAGCTATTTGGAGAAAGACGAAGTCGATGTTAATGGGCAAAAGCTCAAAGAATGAGTTCGCAACTTTGAAACTTGGATGATACTACAACCGCATAAAGCCAGTTGTTGGTTTCAATTGGGGGATCCCGTCTTCGGGATCTTGTGCAGTTTCAAAAGGTTTGACAGGGCCGTGGCCTCTGAAGGCTTCTCTGTTCACTCACACCGATGGATCCCATCTTTGGAGCATTTGGAACCTTGAACATCTCCAATCGCCGGTGAAAAAAAACAGCAAGGCCCATCTTTTCCCTCAAACTTTGACCCAGAAAATCCCGATCCAACCAGCACCTCCACTTTCCAGCGAGTATTTCTCTGAATACTTCTGATGATCTTTGCTTTCATGCACCTGACCTGATGCGCTTCTGGTTTGCTTCACGGTCTCATAGCCAACACTACATGAAATCACAGAGTTCGATCCATTCTGAGTATGGGCGCACCACCCCTTTTCGGGGCTACCTAATTTTGAACCAAAAATGAACGTCACTGGTAGATATACAATGAGGTATTACATCTCACATGAATACGATTCAATGTATACATATAAGCATCTGCACACATGTAAAATGTACACGTGAAAGTATACATGTAGTGTCTACATTTATATATATATATATACATACACAACATAAGACTACGGTACATTACATTACATGTCCTTTCATTACATTACATTACATTACATACCATACATACATACATAATAATTTATATAATATATAACTTACGTATATATGTATATTATATATATATAGTTCAACAATGTTCAACAATGTTCAACATAAAATACTAACCCTACATTGACCTCCCCCAGGTCAGCACCTGCATAGCAAATTCTCAGCTCCGGCTCCAAAGGTCTTCGTGCCAGGCAACGCAGCTCGTCGCGCAGAGGATGCCAGGAGGGACAGCGGGCGACCACCACGTGGGGACCTATGGATGGCATAGCCATGGAGGTTTAGTTCGGAAAATCATCGAAGTATTGCTGGTGGATTTTCCTACCATTGATGGCCATTCCAGGATCCTAAATTGGAGGTACCTACCATATATAAGGCCTATGTAAGGGAATATCCCCACAAAATATGGCCTTATATGGTACAGTACCTCCATTTTAGGATCCTGAAATTCCCATTGATACCATGTTTGATGACCGAAGGGAGGGTATGAGGTTTTAGTCACATGGTCATCATTTTCCAGGTTTTGATATGTTTTTATAGCATTGGGTTTGGCTGAAAATAGGCTAGCCCGACATTACATGCTTTAAAACGTCAATGTTCCAATTTTTTTTATGATAGTTGCTGGGTATCTCGAGAGACCCACATCATTGACATCCAGATCATTGGTTGCTAATCCCCATGATTCATTTGGGTAAATCCCGATTGTTTATGGTGAATTCCCTATTTTTTTTATGGTAAAAAAAAGGTAAATGCCTATTGTGACGGTGAAATTCTATATCAAATCAATACAGAAAAAAACAATTCCTGTTATGGTGAGATATTATTTTTGCTCCCTGTTTTATGGTAAATCATCTGGCAGTGTGTCAAAACCTTGTACCCCTGGTGAACATCAAAATAGCTGGTAAATGGATGTTCATTCCCCTAAAAATGGTATTAATAGGTATTGATTCATACCCATCTAGTGTTTAAACATCAAATCCACCCGCCATGGCCAGGCTGCTGGGTTGCAGCTTGGAACCCCTGGGATTCCTGGGATCCTCGGGCTGCGGTGCCAGGTACCCCATGACGTCCACCCATCCGGGCACGAAGGCCTTGTGGCTCGGGAAGTCGCGGAAGGCCTTGGGACGAAGTCGGACGAAGGGCTGCGCCAAGAAATCTCTGACTCTGGATGATACTATGAATATTTTTTGGAGTATATAGGGGTCTATCTTGATAATGTCTATTTTATATATATATATAATTATACAAACACATATATATATAATATATATATACATATATATACATATTATATACATGTGTAACAGGCATCATTTTATATGCACAGGATTTACCCCGTTCCCAACCTCAATCCCAGTTCCCCACCTTCCCATAGTCCATCCAGAAGCGTCCCTGCTGAATCTCCAGCAACGTCGAGGCTGCAGATCTCCGGCATCCGACAAGGATCGCCATGGCTGCGCCGGCTGCGCCATGCGGCGCGGTCCCGATGACCGAAGGATGACCCGAGATGACCCATGACGAACGGGGAAGGGTTTCTACGGGTTTCAGAATGGATCTAGATGATCTAGATTCATGAGTCATGCGCTTATATAGTCACCCACATTTCGCCCTGATTTTTGTGGATTTCAAGCTGAAGCAGAGTTCATATGGTACATACACGAAATTGTTTGGGCCAATTGTTCGGGAATCCCCCAAACGGCTTGGCATTGAATCATTGGCTTTTCTTTGATCCACTTAAATGGGATCAAATGGGTGTGTCTAAAATGGGTACCCTTAAATTTGATCAAATTTTCCATTTGAGGTGTTATACCCCATTTCCGGACACACCCAAATGGTTGCGGTGATGCCCGAGCTTACCGGTTGAGCTGTTTGGAGCCAAAGTCAAATGTTGGCCTGAGAAATGCATAGTGGCATGCCCTCCAGTAAGCAAACATGGCTAGCTGGGAAATCCTAGAATTATTATAAATGATTATAAAATATTATAAAATATTATAAATGGTGGAACTGAATGGCGGAATTTCGCTGTGTTTGATTCTGTTTGATTGCCACAGGGTATTTTAAGCGGAAAACACGTCTTCCGGATACTCCAGGTCCGATCGTGTGGTTCCTGCCCACTGCCGGGGATGGGTCACTCCGCCCAATGATCCAGAATAGGATCTTGTGGGCAAGCCTGTGCCAGTATTGAAAGCTTATGTACTTAAGTAGTATATCTTCATCCCCTTCCAGAGTTCTTGGACGAACACTGCTTTTCAGGTGCAAGCAATGCCAACACATGTCCGCTACAGCTAGAAGCCATGGCTGGGGCCTGTCTCAAAATTGCGGATTTCCCCAAGTTTATAGCAAAAAGATCAATGGAGATGACATGATAACTAGGGACGTCATGGGATGTCATCAGATTCCAGGCCTTCCACATTTTGAGACCTCCCATTTCATGGCTGATGGATGCGCATGAGCATGGGCCTGCCCAGCAAGTGATGCGCCAATGGCACGACCCATGCCTCAGTGTTCTGTACGCCGCGCAAACGTGCAGCGGCTTGGGCACTTTTCTCCACGGCAAAGTGGAGGTCTGACGATTTGCCACAGAGATGCAGAGAAAAACAACATACCCTCTGCATCATCAAACTCAATGGGCCATTTGCAATAGTTGTGCTACAAATTACCAGGCAATATGCCAATTTCAAGGAGATCTACACTCCGGTGATTGAACCATGGCTGAAAATTCTCTCAAATGCCCTGCTTTTTGAGGAAATGCACGACTGGCGTCAGAACTTGCCAAGCTCGGCAGACCTGTGGCCGAAGTCCACGTTTCAGTGGGCAAGGCCAAGCAAAAACGCAGAGATTCACGGACCTCAAGCGGTTGATGACTGGGACACCCGCTGCTTTCCGTGGAGACAACTTGATAAGGAGCTCAAATTAATACCAGTTCCATACTCAAGACTGTGGGACCCATAAGTGTTTTCTTGTGCGAATCTATTTTGTATATTTTTGCAATGAATAATTCCAAGAGATCATGGTTTAGTGATGGATCTGCAGCGTTTTTTTCGTAAAGTCAAGTAGTTTTTGCTGGAATGCACGCCACAATTCCCCATAACCGGTATCCATGACCTCGTGGTTGCATCCCCACTTGCTCAAAAAAACATCCTCTCGGGGTGATCTCTGGATTTGGTGTTAATCAACAGCTTGGACACGCAACCGAGCTTAACCTGTACATTCCTGTGGTCCAGGCAACGATGAGCAAACGCCAGAAACGTATCGAGCGGAAGCATGCGTTGATGCCCTACTAATGGAATTCTAATGGTATACGATGCATTCTTGCCACATCAAATGACCAATCAAGCAAGGGGGTGTATGTATATATATATATAAATTATACATATATTATGTGTGTACATGCTTATATTGATCTTATATGACTTAGGTTGCTGTAGTCAATATGTGCTGAATGTCTGCGCAGACCACAGCTATCAATGCGCTGAGCCTTCTTTGGGCCCGCACAGGTCTGGTGCCACACGACAAAGGCGCGTGGATCCCAAGTGGCAATTCTGCACTTGGGACATTACAAAGAGTTTTGTTGGCCATCGGTCTTCAGGGGTCTTATTTCTTCGCCATCAAAACAACACCTGGACAAGAGTTTGAACGATTTTTCCTAGCTAGTTCACCAGGTTTCACCGATTTAGAATATCTGCATAATGCCATCTTAGAATATCTTAGAAGTTCTTGGACTACCTTGGAGTTTTCTTAGATATTCCATGATCTTCCTAGAATTTGACTGCCACCGTCTTCCGGTCGGCGCCCCTAGGAGTCGCTCGTGCAATCCGCGTAGTCCACCAGAACGGGGTAGGTCTTCACCTTCGGAGCTACGATGTTTGATGAAAGCCATCGGGGATGTTTCATCACCATCAACAATAGGGATTTGGTGGAATTTCCATGGAATGTCATGGGATTTCCATGGAATTTTCATGGGATTCTTTTTGGGCATGGATTTTTTTTGATGGGGACCCTCTCGTTTTTTGTGCGTCAGGCTATGCGGAAAATGGGATGAAACTGGCCGAAATGGAGGATTTACCACCAGTGATTTTCAATGGTGATTTTCCTAAAGAAAACTATTTACCAGGTGGTAAAATATGACTGGTTGGTGGTTTTTCGCAACTC